AAAAAAAACAGGAGAAGATTTGTCACCAGGGAACTTGGAGAAAATCTGGAGACCTCTGCTACCACCATGTTAGAATGTCTTCTTTCTCTAGGGAAGCAGATGGCATCAACAAACTGCCTCTTTATATTGTTTTTGGCAGGTTACACCAAAGTCTTGTGTGTCCTTTACCCAGAAAAGAAACCACACTTCCAGGGGGGAAAAAATTTAACACCTCCTCTGCCTAAAACCCCTTTTTTTGGAGGCTGAACTGGCTTGCAAGGGAGGTGAGCTGGAAAGAGGTCTACTGAGTGACCTCAAATGAGACAAAAGAGCTCTGAATGGTACTACCAAAGACTCGGGTTTTTTTTAGTGGTACTGGAGTTTAAACTCAGTGCTTTGCACTTGCAAGGCAGGCAGTCATGCCTCCAGTCCTCTTTACTCTGATTATTTTGGAGATATGGTCTTGTTTTTAGCCCAGGCCAGCCTCGACTCCTATTTTAGACTTCCCACCATCGCCGAAATGACAGGTACACCACCACATATCCAGCTATTGAATGAGATGGGAGTCTCATGAACATTTGCCCAGGCTGGCTTTAAACCATGATCCTCCCATCTCAGCCTCTCCTAAGTAGTTAGGAATTACAGGCATGAGCCACTGGCGCCCAGCTAGACCCATTTTTGTCCCCTCCTTTATTGTTGTGGATGGGGGGGTACATTGTGGCATTTACACAGGTTCTTACAATGTATCAAATATATCATACATGAATTATCATTCTCATTCCTCCTCCCTCCCACCTGATTCCTGGAGTAGTTTCAGCAGGTATCATTTTTGCATTTACTTACATGTGTACACATTTTTCCACTATATTTCGCCCTCTTACCCCCTTTCCCCAACACCTCCCCCCTCCCAACTGGTGCCAGCCTTCTCCTGGGCAGGACTTGTTCCAGTCTCCTTTCTCCAATTTTGTAGAAGAAAAAAGAGAAAAGGTAAACAAAAACATGACATTTTAGCTTGAGATAAAGGTAGCTCACAGGGAGATTCCTTGTGATATTTCCATGTATTATCAACCCAATTGGTTTATCTCCTCTAATTTTCCTCATTCTACCTTAGTCCCTTTCTTATGGTAGTTTCAGTCAGTTTAGATTTCTATACTCATTCTTGTATAGAGAATTATCACATATTCAAATTCATAGTTCCCTACCCCCATGTGTGACCTCCATTAGTGACCAGTGGTTTTCATATTGCTGCATTTGTGTTAGATGAGAGGAAATGTGGCTTTTGGCTTTTTGAACCTGGCTAACTTCACTTAAGATGATGTTCTCACAGCTCCATCCATTTACCTGCAAATGACAAATTTCATTCGTCTTTGTGACTGAATAAAAATTCCATTGTATATAAATCCACATTTTCTTAATCCATTCATCAGTAGTGGGGCATCTGGCTATTTCCATAGCTTGGCTATTGTGAATAGTGCTGCAAAAACATAGATGTACTTTTGTTGTAAGCTAACTCACATTCCTTTGGGTATATCCTAGGAATGGAATTGCTGGATCATATGGCAGGTCTATTTTTAGTTTTTAAGAAGCCTCCGTACTGTTTTCATAGTAGTTATACTAGCTTACATCCCCACCAGCAGTGTGGGAGGTTCCTTTTTCCACATTCTCGCCAACATTTGTTGTCATTTGTATTCTTGATGGTAGCTACTCTAACAGGAGTAGGTAGAATCTTAATGTGGTTTTGATTTGCATTCCTTTATGGCGAGGAATGGTGAGCATTTTTCTTGTGTTTTTAGCCATTTGGATTTCTTCCTTTGAAAGGCTCTGTTCAGTTCATTTGACCATTTTTCATTGGGTCATTGATTTTTGGGAAGTTTAATTTTTTTTGATTTCCCTATGTATTTATTTATCAGTCCTTGTCAGATGTATAGCTGGCAAAGATTTTCTCCCATTCTGTGGGCAGCCTCTTCAATTTAGAGACCATTTCTTTAATATTGTACAGAAGCTTTCTAATTTCATGTAGTCCCATGTGTCAATCCTTTCTCTTAGTTGCTGAGCCCTTGCGTTCTACTGAGGAAGTCATTGCCTATACCATTGTGCTTCCAGTGTATTCCCTGGTCTTTCCTTTTCTAGCTTCAAGGTTTCAAGTCTGATGTTAAGGTCCTTATGAAGGACAGAATGCAGGCGGTCAAGGAGACACTTCTCTTCCCTTGGAAATGCCTGTTTGCATCTGAAAGGCATCTCTGCCCTCAGGCAATGCAAAAATAGGCTATAAAACCCACTCCCCACCAGACCCACGGATCCACCGGTTTACAAGTCCCCCCCATTCTCCAATATGCAGTCTCTCTCTTTTCTCCAATTAAATTCTCTACAAAATAAAATCTTTCCAACCTCTTGTTAGAGTCTGTTGTCTATGCTTTCATCTCAGAGCAGGCTCAAGAACCCTGAGCACCTGAAATTCCTGTGCGTGTCATCCGTGCCATCATATTTGGCGACCACAAGGGACCAACCATCACCTGAGGTCGGTACAGGTTGTGCCACACTGGAAAAGACTGCCTAGGAATGTGACCAAGAGTGTCTGGCACTGGTGGAATCTGTTTTCCAGGAGAGAAACCCCCACACACGCCTAGCTACAGTGGAACTCCAGGTCAACCTTTTCTCCCTCTCTCTCTGTCTTGTTAAGGAGGGTTTCCTCCTTGGGAAACTGAGGAAAAAGGTTCAAGCCACTACAGCTGTATGGCAGGCATATCTGAGGAAACTCAGGCCAGGCAGGGGTTTATACTGCACTGCCAATGCTTACGTGGGCAGAACTCGACTTCAGTGCACCGAGGCTTTTTTCTTTTTCCTTTCCTTAAACGCTGACACCCTCTTTCAAGATCTTAGCAGCTTAAGAGGAGGTCCAAAAACAGCCAGTGGAAAGGAAAGTTTGTCTTCAAGCCATAAAAGATGTTCTGGCCGGGACACTCCCCGGTGTCACCCAAAGGCTGGAGACGCAACTTCCTGACCCGCGAGGCCCCCAAAGGTGGCTAAGTCTTGGAGCTCTCCAGCCATGTCCGCGGCAAAACAACATCAGAACTCTCATTGCTTCTTCAGTGGTTTCCGTGGCCCAAGAGTGGGAGGTCACCTCTTGCTTCCAGTGCTCCAGTACTGCCTTTGGGCAGGATGGACCTGGACAGCAGGGATGATCAATAATCCCTCATGCATTGAGCCTGGAAACTCTCTTTTTCCTCAACCCTCAGCCTCTCCTTCCCCTTTCCCAGGCAGTTCAGGATGAGTGTCCCCCTCCCCACCTTTGCTGTAAATAGTGAGCTTCTTTCTTCAGGGAGTTTGGGAAAAATCCAGACAGGCATCAGAAAGTGATAATCTCCAATTTAGGCTTGACTGTCTTTGTCAAGCATCAGATTAACTGGTTAAGCAGGTTCCGAAGCCTGCCCTCAGGGAAAGAAAGAAGAAAAAAAAACAGTTAAAAGGCAACAACTTCAGATCTCCATTTTTGCCCCTTAACAGAGCAAAAGCCTCCAGATGCTCTCTCTCTCTCTCCTTTCATAGAAAGCATAGTATGCCTCACAGGATATATAGGGAACAAAAGTCTACTTCATCAAGAGTCCCATCCATGCCTCTAAAGGGGTCCTCCTTCTGGCCATGCAAGCCTCTTGGTTACTTTGATAGAGTTATTTTTTTAATTACAAGCTTCAGCTGGTAGAGGAGAACTAGGTCAACTTGGTCGCAGGGCAAACAGGCAAGTCAAAATAGATGAGAGATTGGTCAAAGAATCATCTCAGGGGGTGGGTGCAACTGAGATATCTACTGTAAATCCTCCCGACTCTACCAGAGGGCAGTTGAAGGAGCAAGGGAGAGCAGGACGCCCTCTTCCACTAGAGTTTCTCTCTTATCTGGGGACGCTTATATAAAAAGAAACTCTGTTAAGGTGACCAATTTTCCTTGTTTCCCTTTTTAGATGGGAAATCAAGTCCTCAAGGATCCGGAAGGATCCCCTCCTTTGCCTGCTTAAAAAACATTGGAAAGGTCTCTGATCCAGAAAGTCTTCAGCAAAAGCAACTCAAGTTTTACTGCACCCAGGCTTGGCCACAGTATCCTCCTGGAGATGTGATGCGAATCGAGAGTGGCAGACCGAAGGGAGCAATCAATTATAATACCACCTTCAATTAGCATATTGTTCTGTAAAAAGGAGGAAAGTGGCCGAAGTTCCTTACGTCAGTTGTTCTTTTTCCTAAGAGAC